AAATGAATCTTGATGTGAATGGAAAGGGAGAGGGAGTGGATAAGGGGAGGGTTGCGGGTGTGAGGGACATTATGGGGGGAAGCCATTGTAATCCATATTCTGTACTTTGGAAATTTATATTCATTAAATAAAAGTAAAAAAAAAATGGCATCTCAGTGATGTAAGACTTCCTATCCCAGAATTTAAAAATTCCGTAATATACTGTTCAAGTAAGATGTAAATTCCTGGCCCAAGGGATACAAGGTGCATTAGAATTATTTTACATTACAGGATTACTAGGTTTCACCAAAACAGTGGGGAAGAAACCAGAAGGACTCTCCCTCCTCACAATTCCCCAGGAGAACCCCCAGATTCACCAACCCAGCTCCTCTCCAGGTCTCACAACCTAGCACAGAGCCTGGAAGGGCCTGTTGAGCTGCAGAGCAGTGAGGAGCCAACAGGGGGCAGTGGCAGGAACACACTTTGCTCCTCTGCAGCTCGGCCCTCCGGGGTCGCACACGTAAAGACCCATATCCTCATATTCTGCACCAAAAGAGCAAGGTGGGTTGGGACCTTTTCTCATTCCTTGTGACACATGACCCATATTCCTGTACAGGACATCGTTCCTGCCTCTGTCCTCTCATGAGAAACTTGTGCTCACAGTGCTGAGCCCCCTGACTTTGGCTGCAGATCAATGTGGGGGTATTCATTATGGCTGATGTGGGACTCTCTGAGAATTTCAGGTGTTACTCTGGAGGAGCTGACTTGAGTGGTTCTACAAGAAAGAGCCCTATACCCACCCCAAATCACCTCAGTTGCATCACTGCATTCTTGCAGGAATGTTCAAATCCATCCTCGGCCTCAGGCTCCCTCTAGTGTTGTGGTCGGTATTCACCTGACTGAAAGGAAGGGAGACCTGGGCATAATAGCAGTAGACAGCTCCAAGTCAAGACTGGGTGAACTGAAACATCCATGTAATGGAAACGATCTCCATGGGAACACCAGATGGCCCTGCAGAAATAAACATGTGTGTGTACAGGAAGTCTGAAAGACTATTTAGATAGGAGCTGCCTCTGAGCAATGGGATTGCAGTTGGTTTTCCTTTCTCCTTTATAAGTGCTTAGATTTATTTCCTTAAGGACACTATGGAACAATAACTGAAAACAGGCCAATTTCACATTGTATTTAAAACTGAATGCCAACGTGTTTCATTTTAATGAAATAAACAAACCTATCATACAACAGACAACTCATGAAAGGTAAGTCAGCATGGAATATGCTACTCAGAAAATACATAAACATAGGATCTAGCTATGGATGATAGAATTATAATCAGATATCATTGGCACATTAACTTGGGAATTAGTTTTTACACGCAAAAATATAGAATTTCAATTCCAGTGATCTTGCCTTTACACACACACACATACACACACAATTGTAAAATGCAAAGAATCAGAGATCAATTGACTTGGATATTAGAAGACACACATGCTAATGGCTATTCATACACAATTGAGTATGACTCAGGAAGTGTTGCTATGTTCTGAGACAGCCACATAAAGTTATGATAACTCCTACTAAAGTGCTTCTCAGACTATAGCTGCTGAAGACACTAATGGAGGTTTTGGGGAGAAAGAAGTAATTCTATGAAAAACTGATGACTGTACTAGAGAGGATGGGGACATTTAATTTAAGAAACCTCTATTGGGGTAAAGGCTATCAAAAGATTATTAGAATCTGTGTGATCTGGTGCTTTTCCACTTATCTTTAAGAATAATGCAGGCCAGCGCTGTGTCTCAATAGGCTAATCCTCCGTCTTGCAGCACCAGCACACCGGGTTCTAGTCCCAGTCAGGGCACCAGATTCTCTCGAGGTTGCCCCTCTTCCAGTCCAGCTCTCTGCTATGGCCCAGGAGTGCAGTGGAGGATGGCCCAAGTGCTTGGGCCCCGCACCCCATGGGAGACCAGGATAAGCGCCTGGCTCCTGGCTTCGGATCAGTGCGGTGAACCGGCCACAGCACGCCGGCCACAGTGGCCATTGGAGGGTGAACCAATGGCAAAAGGAAGACCTTTCTCTCTGTCTCTCTCACTGTCCACTCTGCCTGTCAAAAAAATAAATAAATAAAAGAAATAAAAAAAAGAATAATGGAAACTGGAGCTGGGCTGTGGTGTAGTATGTTAAGTTTCCACCTTGAGTGCTAGCATCCCACATTTCATAGGCTCAAGTCCCGCTGTTCTATAGCAAGAACCCTGTAAGAGTGAAAGGAATTCAACAACAAAAAAACTAAACATCCAGTTAAGTAATGGGAAACACCTTCATCATGCATTTTTCAAAAAGAAGAAACTGAAAAGGCCAAAGTCACTTAAAAAATTCTCAGGACTACTAGCCATCAGGGAAATGAAATCAAAACCACCATCAGGATTCACCTTACCCATCAGAATGGCTCTCATACAGAAATCAACTAACAACCTATTCTGGAGAGGACTCAGGAAAAAAGGTAGGCTAATCCACAGTTGGAGAGAATGTAAACTGATGCAGTCATTGTGGAATACAGTATGGAAATTTCTGAGAAAGAAAATAGATCTGCCATGAGACCAAGCCAACTGACTCCTAGAAAGTTACCCAAACAAAATGAAATCAGCATGAAAAGGGGTCATCTGTACCCCCAAGTTCATTGCAGCTCAATTCAAAATAGCTAAGATATGGAATCAACCCAGATATCCATCAACTGATGACCGGATAAAGAAATCCTGGCATGTATACTCTAAGAATGTTTATCAGTAGGAGAAAAAAAATATCCTCTCTTTTGCAACAACATTGATGCAGCTGGCATCCATAATACTTAAAGAAATGAGACAGTATCAGAAAAGACATATGCCATGTGTGTCTAGACAGAATCTAGAAGCAACTTAAAATACAAGGTCAATGGTTCTAAGAAAATGGACAACAGACTCGTTATTGTAAGAAGAAAGAATCATTATTTGACTTACGATACAAAAATGGGATGGTTCAACTTTCGCAAATCAATCAATGTGATACACCACATTAACAAACTGCAGAAGAAAAAACATATGATTATCTCAATAGATGTAGAGAAAGCATTTGATAAAATACAACACCCTTTCATGATGAAAACTTACCTAAAGTTTTCATGATGAAAACTCTAAGCAAATTGGGTGTGGAACAAACATTCCTCAACACAATCAAAACAATTTATGAAAAACCCACGGCCAGAACCTTATTGAATGGGGAAAAGTTGGAAGCATTTCCACTGAGATCTGGTACCAGACAGGGATGCCCACTCTCACCACTGCTATTCAATATAGTTCTGGAAGTTTTATACACAGCCATTAGTTAAGAAAAAGAAATTAAAGGGATACAAATTGCAAAGGAAGAAGTACAATTATCCCTCTTTGCAGATGATATGACTCTTTATTTAGGGGATCCAAAGAACTCTGTTAAGAGACTATTGGAGCTCATAGAAGAGTTTGGCAAAGTAGCAGGATATAAAGTCAATGCACAATAAGCAACAGCCTTTGTATACACAGGCAATGCCATGGCTGAGAAATAAATTATATGATCTATCCCATTCACAAGAGCTACAAAAAAAATCAAGTACCTTTGAATAAACTTAACAAAGGACATCAAAGATATCTACAATGAGAATTATAAAATCTTTTTTTTTTGAAAAGGCAGAGTGGACAGTGAGAGAGAGAGACAGAGAGAAAGGTCTTCCTTTTTGCAGTTGGTTCACCCTCCAATGGCCGTTGCAGCCGGCGCACTGCAGCTGGCACATTGTGCTGTTCCGAAGCCAGGAGCCAGGTGCTTCTCCTGGTCTCCCATGCGGGTGCAGGGCCAAAACACTTGGGTAATCCTCCACTGCACTCTTGGGCCATAACAGAGAGCTGCCCTGGAAGAGGGGCAACCAGGACAGAATCCGGCGCTACGACTGGGACTAGAACTTGGTGTGCTGGCACCGCCGGTGGAAGATTAGCCTAGTGAGCCATGGCACTGGCCAGAGAATTATAAAATCTTAAAGAAAGAAATAGAAGAGGATACCAATAAATGGAAAATTCTTCCATGCACATGGATTGGAAAAATCAATATCATCAAAACTTCCATTCTCCCAAAAGCAATTTATAGATTCAGTGTGATACCAATCAAAATGCCAAAGAAATTCTCAGATCTTGAAAAAATGATGCTGAAATTCATATGGAAGCACAGGAGACCTGAAATAGCTAAAGCAATCTTGTACAACAAAAACAAAGCCAGAGGCACCACAATACCAGATTTCAAGACTTACTGCAGTGGATCTATAATCAAAACAGCCTGGTATCAAAATGGATGGGTAGAACAATGGAACAGAATGGAAACACCAGAAATCAATCCAAACATCTATAGCCAACTTATATTTGATCAAGGAGCTAAAACAAATTCTTGAAGAAAGGACAGTCCATTCAACAAATAGTGCTGGTAAAATGGATTACCCATGCAGAAGCATGAAGCAAGACCCCTACCTTATATCTTACACAAAAATCCACTCACTATGACCCGGCACTTTCAAATTATTGGAGGACATCAAAGAAACCCTGCAAGATATAGGCACAGGTAAAGATTTCTTGGAATAGACCCCAGAGGTACAGGAAGTCAAAGCCAATATTCACAGTTGGATTACATCAAAAATCACTTTCTTATGTCTGGTATTGGCAAAAGTAAATCAAAGCCAGATTGATAATAAATAGAAATGAAGAGATGGAAAAGAAGTTTACAGAATCACTTCTATGTATAATGAAAACTTGATGTGTGATTATCACATCATTTTATTTATTTATTTTTTTACATCATTTTAAATTCATATGAAATGATATATAATTCAGCATTTTCTTGACAATGAATTACACATTATAATGATTGAACATATCTAAAGATTGCGCTGAAATATTTCAACTATATTAATAAGCTTATTTTAATATAGACTAATGAATGAATAAAAACAGCAAAGAAATGTGTAACTCATTTTATTAAAATATGAATATGACAATGTCAATGAGTTGACATTGAAAATACAGGATTGAAAAGAAATGAAAAGTTTCAAGGGGAGCCTTTATCTGAGATTGGTTTTGTGCTTATGAACATAAAACCCAGACTAAGAAATTAGTTCATAGTATTATTTTGAAGAGAGAAGGAATGGGTACAGCATGGGGGTATAGTGGCTATAAGTAGCACCTATAACCCCGACATCCCATGTTGGTGCCAGTTCATGTCTTGTCCGCTCCACTTGCAATCCAGCTTTTTGTTAAGATCTAGAAAATGCTTTGGAAGATGGCCTAAGCCTTTCTGTCCTTGACACTCACATGAAAACCTGAATTAATCTCCTTGCTTTGGCATGAACTAGCACTGGGCCACTACAGATATCTTCAGATTCCATTACCAGATGGAAGGTTTCTCCCACTCTCTATCTTCATTTTCTGTAAATTGGACCTTCAGAACAAAAACATATTAAGAAAAGTATAAATTGTTCATAAGGAGGGTACATTATACAAGTTATTTTTAACATCAGAATGCAAAATCAGTTTTATAATTTTAGATTCTAACCAATAAAAACTGAGAGAGCCTAAGAGCTACACCTGAGAACATCTGTTTCCTTAGAAATTCTTCTATCCCTTAATCCTTTCAAAGCATTCTTCTCAGGTCTTAGGAGAATAATGTAGCACTTGGGGACAAAGATGCAGCCCAGGAGCCCCGCACCAGAGGCCAAGATGGAGAAGACCTCCACAGCCACCATGACCTTCCCCTTGGTGCTGTGGTAGACAGGCAGGAAGGTCACCCAGACACTGCAGAACACCAGCATGCTGAATGTCAGGAACTTGGCTTCATTGAACTTGTCAGGCAGATTCCTGGCTAGGAAAGCCACAGTGAAGCTGGCCATGGCCAAGGAGCCCAGGTAGCCCAGGACACAGTAGAAGGCAATGACTGAGCCCTTGTTACACATCAGGATGATGTGGCCATGCTCTGAGTGTGCATCTGTGTCAATAAAGGGAGGAGAATTCCCAAGCCAGATGGCACAGAGAGCCAGTTGGATGAGGGAGCAGATGGGAATAATGGAGTTAGGTACCCCTGATATCAGCCAGTGTCTCATCCTTCTCCCTGGGGCAGTGACCTTGAAGGCCAGAACCACAGTGATAGTTTTGGCCAGGACTGTGGAAACAGCCACGGTGAACATCACTCCAAACGTGGTCTGCTGGAGGACACAGGTGGTTGTGTTGGGATGACCAATAAACAGTAAGGAGCAGAGGAAGCAGAAGATGAGGGCAATGAGCAGGATGTAGCTGAGACAACGATTGTTGGCCTTGACTAGGGGAGTGTCTCGGTGCTTCACAAAGACCCCAAGAACCACAGCAGTGAGGACAGAGAAGCACAGAGCTGTGCAGACCAAGGTCATCCCCAGGGGATCTTCAAAAGACAGAAAGGTCACTTTTTTGTGGAAGCACTGGTTTCGCTCTGTGCTGGCATACTGATGATCCAGACACTTCATACACTGGTCCATATCTGGCAAGAAACATACAAGAACATCATCCTGAGTTCAGTTATTTCTGATTCACAAGGACCTTCTGGAATAACGGACATAGCTAGTTTAGGCAAATAGCCCTAATTTGATGTTGAAATAGCATATAAAATAACATCTAGGAAATTATTAGCCATTATTCATGCCCATCTTCCTCATGTTAGCCAGAGTTATTACTTCATCTCTCTAACTACCTTGCATACTGATGAGTACATGTACTTTTTCTCCTAACAAAGCCCTGCAGGCTACTCTCTGAAACTACTCCTGGTGCTTTAAATCCTACCTTTTTTGCCTGTATCATTTTAACACCGCAAATTCATTCTTAATGGTTTCTCCACACTTGGAAGTGGTGATCAAGATTCCAGAGGTTTCCATGTATTATAAAGACTACTCTGACCTTTATATATGGCCCAGGCTTGATGCATCCTCACTTTAAACAAGAGCAAGCAGCAGTCCTTGTTTTCTTAAGTTTTTATATAGTGATTGCATTTTTTCATATTTTTTTATTTTAAAGTTTTTATTCAACAAATGCATTTTTTCATAGATAGAACTTTAGAAATATTGTGTTTCTTTCCCCTAAACCCACCCTCCCATCCCAACTCTCATCCCACCTCCCTCACCCTCTCCCATCTCCTTCTTCATTATGTTACATTTTTATTTGATTTTATATACAGAGGACCAACTCCATATAACATATAGATTTCAAGAGTTTGCATCCACACAGACACACTACATATAGAGTACAGTTTGAGAAAAAATTGCAGTCGATTCTCACAGTTCAACTCATTATGGATGGAGTTCCTAAATGGGGAATAAATGCACAATGATTTCGTTGTTTCGTTAACAATTAACACTTGTACATATGATATCAGTGATCACCTAAGGCTCTTGCCATGGGCTGCCAAGGCTATGGAAGTCCTCTGTAACCATAGACTCCATCAGCATTTGGACACTGCCATAAGCAAAGTGGATGTTCTCTCTTCCCTTCTGAGAAGAGTATATCCTTCTTTGACGATCATTTCTTTCCACTGGGGTCTCACAGAGATCCTCCATGTAGGCTATTTTTTGGCCAGAGTGTTCGCTTTCCATGCCTGCAGTGAGCCCTTGTTTTATTGGTGTTATTCCCTCTGTACTCTCATTGCCTAATCAATGACCAAAGGGCCCCAGTCTTTATTTCTAATGAGTGTTTTTATTTATTTATAATTTAATGGAAATGCAGAGTTTCAGAAGGAGGCAGAGAAGTATGAGGGAGAGAGAGGGAGAGGGAGAGAGTAGGACAGGAGGGCAGGGAGAAAAAGAGAGGGAGAAAGGAAAAGAGTGGAAAAGAGAAAGAAAGACATCTTCCACCAGTGATTCACACCCCAAATGATGGCAATAACTGGAACTAGGCTGTCTTAGGGCAATAAATGGGAGCTTCTTCTGGATCTCCTACATGGTGTGGACTCAGAAACTTGGGCTGTCTTCTATTGCTTTCCTAAGCATCAGCAGAGAGCTGCATTGGAAGTGAAGCAGCTGAGACTGGAACTGCTGCCCAACTGGGATGCTGGCATCCCAGTCAGAGGCTTCAACTACTATGATGCAGCACTGGCCCCAGGTTCCCACTCTTAGTGTCATGCACTGGGAGATTTACTTTGTGAATTTTGGGTGCACAGAAAGCACACAACGATCTCACTAAACCACATCTCTCTAAGGTAGCATCTGGATAGTCATTCTATGGGCAAGCACTGATTGAGAGATCACCATTAGAAAACAGATGATTAAGCTCTAGAGAAACACAGAAGAGTTGTACACTTGATACCTTCTGGATAAGATGCCACCCTTGAGCAAATTTCCATCAAGGAACACACTGGGATGCTGCCTGTAATCAAAGTCAGTCTGGAGATCACCTTGAACCCTACTGGCATATTTCCACTTTGCTGCCTTTTTATTCTTGAACATGAATTTTATCTCCATCTCTGCCAGTATCCCCTTCTTTTTCCATACATTTCTCCATCAATGTCAGTTGTCACAACCTGCAGATGTCTTCCAAAGTTTAGGTGGTCTTATTTTTGGATAGTTCATACTTTTGAGACATTACATGTGCTCATCTTTCAGAGCTTTGTTTTCCAGAATTGATAAGCAAAAATATCTCTTTTTGTATTTAATCTAGTATTCCAGCACTACTTAACTCAATTACTGATTTTTGATTGTATTACACCATCCCAATATCAGTTGAGAATGATGCCATTTTAAATCTTCCTTTATAATAACTTGCATGGCTTTCATTTTTATTATATGCACAAACAGACCAATGGGTAATTTCCTGCAGAAGTTACATTCTTTCTGCAACTTTGTATACAATCTTCAGCCATAACTTCCATGTTTTTGGCATTCTAAAATACACTTTAGGATTGAAAACTGATCCTTCTTTTTGGCATTTTGTGTTGTTTTGTTCTTTTTTTATCATTCTTAGATAACTTAAATGTATTAAATGGTTTTCTTCAGAAATGCTCATTCTTATTACTATTTTTCAAGGATTATAAACTGAATTACACTTTATGCAAGACATTGGGCATAATGTAACCTATTTAAAAATACTGTTGGGTTTACATTGTTTAAAATTTCTATGTGTGAATTTATTTCAACAACAGTGTCTTACAAGTTCATTTTGCTGAAATATCTGGCAGTATTTGATCAAACAAGTTAAGATGTTCCTGTAGACAGTGAGAGACAGAGAGAGATGTCTAACTTTTGCCGTTGGTTCACCCTCCAATGGCCGCCATGGCCGGCACACCACGCTGATCCAATGGCAGGAGCCAGGTGCTTATCCTGGTCTCCCATGTGGTGCAGGGCCAAAGCACTTGGGCCATCCTCCACTGCACTCCCGGGCCACAGCAGAGAGCTGGCCTGGAAGAGGGGCAACCAAGACAGAATCTGGTGCCCCAAGAGGGACTAGAACCCAGTGTGCCAGCGCCGCTAGGTGGAGGATTAGCCTGTTGAACCGCGGCGCCAGCTGCTGAATTCTAACAGACATTTAAAGAAGAACTAATCCCATTTCTTCTCAAACTATTCAGAACAATAGAAAAAGAGGGAATCCTCCCAAATTCTTTCTATGAATCCAGCATCACCTTAATCCCTAAGCCAGAGAAAGATGCAGCACTGAAAGAAAATTGTAGACCCATATCCCTAATGAACATAGATGCAAAAATCCTCAATAAAATTCTCGCCAATAGACTACAACAACACAACAGAAAAATCATCCACCTAGACCAAGTGGGATTCATCCCTGGTATGCAGGGATGGTTCAACATTCACAAATCAATCAATGAGATTCACCACATTAACAGACTGCAAAAGAAAAACCATATGATTATCTCAATAGACGCCGAGAAAGCATTTGATAAAATACAACACCCGTTCATGATGAAAACTCTAAGCAAATTGGGTATAGAAGGAACATTCCTCAATATAATCAAAGCAATTTATGAAAAACCCACGGCCAGCATCCTATTGAATGGGGAAAAGTTGGAAGCATTTCCACTTAGATCTGGCACCAGGCAGGGATGCCCACTCTCACCACTGCTATTTAATATAGTTCTGGAAGTTTTAGCCAGAGCCATCAGACAAGAAAAAAAATTAAAGGAATACAAATTGAGAAGGAAGAAGTCAAACTGTCCTTCTTTGCAGACGATATGATTCTTTACTTAGAGGATCCAAAGAACTCTTTTAAGAGACTATTGGAACTCATAGAGGAGTTTGGCAAAGTGGCAGGATATAAAATCAATGCACAAAAATCAACAGCCTTTGTATACACAAGCAATGCCATGGCTGAGAAAGAACTGCTAAGATCAATCCCATTCACAATAGCTAAAAAAACAATGAAATACCTTGGAATAAACCTAACCAAGGACGTTAAAGATCTCTATGATGAGAATTACAAAATCTTAAAGAAAGAAATAGAAGAGGATACCAAAAAATGGAAAAATCTTCCATGCTCATGGATTGGAAGAATCAACATCATCAAAATGTCCATTCTCCCAAAAGCAATTTATAGATTCAATGCAATTCCAATCAGGATACCAAAGACATTCTTCTCAGATCTAGAGAAAATGATGCTGAAATTTATATGGAGGCACAAGAGACCTCGAATAGCTAAAGCAATCTTGTACAACAACAACAACAATAACAACAACAACAACAAAGTGGAGGCATCTCAATACCAGATTTCAGGACATACTACAGGGCAGTCGTAATCAAAACATGGTACTGGTACAGAAACAGATGGATAGACCAATGGAACAGAATTGAAACACCAGAAATCAACCCAAACATCTACAGCCAACTTATATTTGATCAAGGATCTGAAACCAATTCCTGGAGCAAGGACACTCTATTCAATAAATGGTGCTGGGAAAACTGGATTTCCACATGCAGAAGCATCAAGCAAGACCCCTACCTTACGCCTTACACAAAAATCCACTCAACATGGATTAAAGACCTAAATCTACGAACTGACACCATCAAGCTATTAGAGAACATTGGAGAAACCCTTCAATTATTGGCACAGGCAAAGAGTTTCTGGAAAAGACCCAGGAGGCACAGGAAGTCAAAGCCAAAATCAACTATTGGGATTGCATCAAATTGAGAAGTTTCTGTACTGCAAAAGAAACAGTCAGGAGAGTGAAGAGACAACCGACAGAATGGGAAAAACTATTTGCAAACTATGCAACAGATAAAGGGTTAATAACCAGAATCTACAAAGCGATCAAGAAACTACACAAAAACAAAACCAACAACCCACTTAAGAGATGGGCCAAGGACCTCAATAGACATTTTTCAAAAGAGGAAATCCAAATGGCCAACAGGCACATGAAAAAATGTTCAAGGTCACTAGCAATCAGGGAAATGCAAATCAAAACCACAATGAGGTTTCACCTCACCCCAGTTAGAATGGCTCACATTCACAAATCTACCAACAATAGATGCTGGAGAGGATGTGGGGAAAAAGGGACACTAACCCACTGTTGGTGGGAATGCAAACTGGTCAAGCCACTATGGAAGTCAGTCTGGAGATTCCTCAGAAAACTGAAGATAGCCCTACCGTTCGACCCAGCCATCCCACTCCTTGGAATTTACCCAAGTGAAATGAAATTGGCAAACACAAAAGCAGTCTGCACCCTAATGTTTATTGCAGCACAATTTACAATAGCCAAGACCTGGAACCAACCTAAATGCCCATCAACGGTAGACTGGATAAAGAAATTATGGGATATGTACTCTTTAGAATACTATACCGCAGTAAGAAACAACGAAATCCAGTCATTTGCAACAAAATGGAGGAATCTGGAACACATCAAGCTGAGTGAAATAAGCCAGTCCCAAAGGGACAAAAACCACATGTTCTCCCTGATCCGTGATGACTGACTGAACACCAAAAAGGAAACCTGCTTAAGTGAAATGGACACTATGAGAAACGGTGACTTGATCAGCATAGCCCTGACTGTTAATGAACAACTTAATACATTATCCCTCTTAGTATTTTTTGTTGGTTCTACTTAATATGACTGGTTTAATTCTGTAATTAATACACAGTTATTCTTAAGTGTTGCAAATTAACTGAAATATCATCCCTGTTAAACATAAGAGTGGGAATAAGAGAGGAAAGAGATGTATAATTTGGGACATGCTCGGGCTGACTTGCCCCAAATGGTAGAGTTAGAACCATACCAGGGGATTCCAATTCAATCCCATCAAGGCGGCATGTACCAATGCCATCTCACCAGTCCAAGTGATCAATTTCAGTTCACAATTGATCATAATGAAAGGACTAAGAGTCAAAGGGAGCACATAAACAAGTCTAGTACTTGCTAATACTAACCGATAGAATAAATAAATGGGAGAGTGATCCAACATGGGAAGTGAGATACTCAGCAGACTCATAGAATGGCAGATGTCCTAAATAGCACTCTGGCCTCAGAATCAGCCCTAAAGGCATTCGGATCTGGCTGAAAAGCTCATGAGAGTATTTCAGGCATGGAAAGCCAGGACACTCTGGAGAAAAAAAAAAAGAAAAAACACCTAAATGAAATGTCTCTCTGAGTGAGATCCCAGTGGAAAGAACAGGTCTTCAAAGAAGGAGGTACCTTTCTCTGAAGGGAGGAGAGAACTTCCACTTTGACCATGGTCTTGTCTAAACAAGGTAAGAGTCGGAGAACTCAAAAGGCTTCCATAGCCTTTGAAACTCCTGACTGGAGCATAGGGAGATTACTGATGCCATAAACAGGAGTGTCAATTTGTAAAGTCAACAACAGGAGTCACTGTGCACTTACTCCTCATGTAGGATTTCTGTCCTTAATGTGCTTTACATTGAGATTTAATGCTATAACGAGTGCTCAAACAGTATATTTCACTTTGTGTTTCTATGGGAGTGCAAACTGTTGAAATCTTTACTTAATGCATACTAAACTGATCCTCTGTAAAAAAAAAAAAAAAGAAAGAAAGAAATTATCAACTCCCAACTTGACTCTCACTGGGATTAAACATGACAATAGGTCTGATCTGATTTCATCATCATTTAAAAAAAATCATCTATTATTTCTCACTTTATGTTTCTGTGTGAGAGCAAACTGTTGAAATCCTTACTTAATGTATACTAAGCTGATCTTCTGTATATTAAGATAATCGAAAATGAATCTTGATGTGAATGGAAGGGGAGAGGGAGTGGGAAAGGGGAGGGTTGCAGGTGGGAGGGACGTTATGGGGGGTAAGCCATTGTAATCCATAAGCCGTACTTTGGAAATTTATATTCATTAAATAAAAGTTAAAAAAAAGATGTTCCTGTAGAAGAAACAGAAATTTTCCTATTCTGTACAGGAATTGAGAAAAAGAGTTCCTTTCCTATGTGAACGTTTGATAAAGGTGTTTATCTCAATAAAAGTATTGGGAATTATTTTGATAACTGTGAGGTTACTTAGATTTTTCAAATATTTCTGAAAGTATTTCATAATAATTCTATCTGGAAATTTTTGAATTTCTTCTATATTCTTCAATCTATCACCATTAAATGATTAACATGTTCTAATATTAATATTAGTATCTTTTATATCTATACAGAGACCTCTTCAGCTCTCTTTGTGTTACACACACAGACATTGTAATCTGGTTTTTAGTACTGTTCCAACTGGCTGAGGTTCATAAATTTTGCTTGTTTTATGATCACCAATTGTAAGCTCTTCCAATTTTTATTTACTTCAGTTTCATCATAATGTCCACAACCAATCTTCAAGCGCTTGTGTTGAATTTGCTCTCATTGACCTACCTTGATATGCATACTTTTTACCATGGATGTCAGCCTGTATTCTTTCAAAATAAATTTTACTCATGAGTGTGTATGAGTGTAAGCATAGGAATGTTCCTGAAGATTTATATTTTGATATGCAATAATTTTGCTCAAGGCTAAGGTTAGCTCGTTTATGATATCTGATGAGTATTATCCTCAGCATGATATACTGTATAATTTCTAATACAGTTTTTCAAATTACACACAGTTTGATGAGAGTTGTGCTTTCTCACTCCAAGCATGCTATGCTTGAATTAGGTGAAAGCATTTTATCTATTTATGTACAAGGAACACAGATGTGAATTTACCAAAATGATTTTGCAAATACTACATGCAGTAAAGTATAGTGTGCAAACTTTTATCATTTTAAGGGTTATTACTGAATATAAGGTTTAACTTCTACCAGAAGGTGAAAAGAATCTTCTCAGCAGTCATACTCCACATTCTTTTCTTTCCATGGAGGAGAGGAATATTTTAAGAAACAGGCTTTAATTTCTCCATGAGGCTGGCACTGACTTACCTGTCTGATTGGAAATCTCATTCTCAGGACAAGGTGTGCAATCAAAACAACAGGTAGGCTTCCCCTCCAGAGAGGCTTTCCTGAATCCAGGGCTGCAACTCTCACTGCATACTGAACGTGGAGTCTGAGAAAAATCAAATGAATATTGGTCATATTGGGAATGTTACTTCTGTTCCAAGTAGAGGGTTTTCAAGTCCTGCACAACCTGTTCTCTTAAACTGTAGATACCTATTTCTGACAAAATGATTGCATGCAATTTGATTTTCTAAATAAATGGAATCAAAACATGTGGAGGAACAAGTGTGTGTACTGTCCAACCTCAGACACTAAAAACATAAGAAAGTATTTAGATTGGAAGGGGTGTAGTTTAATGTCTCTAAGTGTGTTTTTAATAAGCCAAGTGGCACAAATCCCCATATGAATTGTGGGTAACAATGTGCAATGTGAACCTTATGATCAGCTGCAACTTACCTCTGTAATTCCTATGGCCCACTCTATCGAATTCTCAGAGAGAGACAACTTCTGGCTCTGTGAGGCATAAGGGGAAAACTGTCCTACTTTAACCTTACGTCCAACACCATATGGAAAATTCCAAAAGTTGAGAATGTCATATTCAGCTTCCAAATTCATCATGTGATTCAAATTCACTAGGTCACCCACAGGATTGGTAAATTGGAGGTTCTTGAGAAACGGGTGCAACTGAAAAAATACATCATATTCACATGAAGACTGCCCAAGCAATAACACATCAAACCCAGGTAAGAGAAAGCCTTTTGTCTGTAATCACAAATAAACAAAGGGAACTTTTTATAGCCACCCAATGAATTAAAACTAAAAACATGATGAGAACTACATCAAAGTAAGTATGATTTCACTCATTTTCGTCTAAAAACTAGGGCAATCAAAAAGATCTAACTGTGAGATTCTGATCATTTCCAACTGTGGACTCCATGCTACCAACACACACTTATTTTCTCAGTGTACCTAGGACAACCATCTGTAGTACAGTTACCAGGATAAAAAATATGCAATTTAATGAGATGTCTTATGTACATTGTGGATGAACATACTCAACATTTGACACTAAAAAGTAATAATTTTTTACCGTTGAGACTGAAAACAGAATGACAGAGTCTAGGTATTCACAAGTCCTAATTAAACTGACAGGATGGGAGAGTACTTTTTAAGACACAGCACTGAAGCTTATCCAAGTTACCTTCCCACTTGTCAATGGAACCCTGTGTCTTATGACAAATTACAAGCAGAGGCTCATATATATCTTGTGATTGGAGAAATGTTCCCAAGCTACTTGGTTTGAACACCGGCAGAAGCTCTTAAGGGGATCACATCAGGAGTACATGTCATACAATGGAAAGCAAATTACCTGCCAGGGAGAAAATGTCAGCTTTGCCCCATTGTTCACTGGCTGTATTTCTAACAATTGTAGAAGCATCTCATGTACGCTGTGGGCCACAGCATACACAGCATTATATATGTTGTAACTCCCATCACTCATGCTCATATCAAAACGATGTGGAGGCAAGGATTCCAAGGAGGCATTCAGTGGACAGTTCTGCAAAGTTTTACAGGATGCCCCAGTAACTGAGCAATCAAAAACCAATAACCAGAATCTTAAGAGGTAAATGTCTTCTGGGTATTTGAAGGATTAGCTGTCTGAAGAAAGTTTTTGAAACCAGAGATCTCACCATGGTGGTGTGAAAAAATGAGAGTCCCATGGAATGAGTGGAGCAGGATATGATGCTCATCGCTGGCAAAATCCCATTGTGAGGTGGTGACCAGACTTTCATGTCATTACACGTTCCCATGTTGGAAAGCTGACACCTATGAGTGAATCAGTGTCACAGAAAAGAATCACCACATTTGCTGATGATTTTAGGATCTGGATATGAACCTATTCGGGAGTGAAATAGGTGACTCCTCAGTGACTGGGATCAATTCCACAAAGTCCACACAGATGCCATTCTTCTGCAGCTCTACTTTCAAATTGGACATAACTGAATACCTTTTGGAGGTCTGAGATGGCCAAACCCACCCACGTCCAGCTGAAATGAAGCATCAAGGGAGACTATGCCAAGGGCCAGAGAAGTGTCTTTGGGGGGCATCTGATAGAGGGAAGGAAACTGACCACTGTCACTCAGAAGTGGTTCAAAAGACCCACGAGTCAGCTAAGAGAAAATGCAAGAAATATGTGTAAGGATATTGCCATAGTGTACATCTTACTCCTGAAGAAATTAAGCACGCTATGGAAGCATCAGAAGATTTTAGAATGTTTCATTTTCTCATACTCTGCATGAAACATCCTAGTTCCTGAGACATACATTCACAGATTAAGGAAACATTTCTCCTTTTCACTTGCCAACACTCTGCTTCTGATAATATGTGGCTAATCCACCTAACTCTCTATACGCCTTCCCTTTTGATCACATGCTGTGGCAAGTGTATTTGGTCTGTCACTTAAATTTTTGGGTCTAAGTCAGGCACCTCAGGTGATGTGTTTTATCCCTCTCTTTCATTACACACTCACCTGTGGAATTTTGTAGAGTTCCAGCAGTGTCCCTACTTGGACAGCAATGCTTGTTCCTGATATTACAGCTACAGACTTGCTCCATTTCCTACACATGTAATTAGGAACATCCTCTTCTAGTCCTGCAAGCCAGATGAAGGGATTCTGCATCACCATCATGTCACTGTGCATGACATTATAGAGATCAAATCCCAAGGTCACATTGGGTAAAAGGGGGGTTCTTGTTGATCTCCTCAATAGCAAAAACCAAGGCCAGAACATACTGGTAGTTTTTGGACTGAAAACCTGTATGAAATGCACAAGGATCTTTAAGGGAGAAGCCTCAAATCCAGATTATCATCAATTCTTCTGTAATAACTGTAACAGATGGATTGGTCTTGG